TATAGCATCTTTTATTATTAGGAAATGATAAATGGCCTGTTATCGTTATCGATTAATATATTATGCATATATTTTAAATGCCATATATCGATATACATGCTATCGATTAGCTTGCTATTTCTTGAGCTATACGATATAAAATCAATGGTCGGGTAATACAAAGTTTACCGAAAGCGTATATATTAGCCGTACTTACTTCAAGAAAGACTACGTCTTATACATAGAGATACAGTTGAGTCCCAATAATTCGAAATTCTTTCGATTTACACAGAAATTCAAAATATTTAGATTTATCGAATAAGAATTTTTTTTTCAAGGAGATAAATTTTGTTAGATCCACCACGACCTTCACATTTAGAGATACAAATTATCGAGACTCGACTGTATTTTGTCATATCTGAGCATTTTGCATACTCGATCCGGTCGCCATTAGCGTGTGCTCACCGTGGCGAGTTCTTCAAGTGCTCGCTACAAATTTGTAGCATACTTTTGCGGGCAGCTGGCAGCCAATTGGCAGCCGAGTGTCCAGTCGCTGGAGTCAATTGTTGCCGCTCCAAGGCAACAGTGACCGAGGGGAGGGGGGAGGAGGGGGGGGCTGGGGTCGACGTGGGTTCGGCTAGGGTCAAGTTAACTGCAGCTGAGGCCGCAGCACTTGGACTAAGCCAGCCAAGAAGTTTTGTGAGTTGCCAAAACAAGGCCAACTTGTGACGCAAACAACAACAACAACAACAACAACAGCAACAACAGCAAGCCGAAGAAGAAGAAGGGCAATAATATGAAATAAATTCCAATAGAGGCTGCCAGCACGGCAGGGCGGGGTAGATATGGCTACGAAGTGGGTTTTAAGGGGTAACGCTACAAATCCGTACAAATTGAATAAGAACTCAATCTTGGCTACTGTCAAAACAACTTTTCCCTGGCTGGGCTCGGGGTCGATTGGGGTAGTCCTGGCAACCGGACACCGCAGCACGAGGCGGAAAGATAAGAAAAAACAAAAAAAAAAAAACAACGAGAAGATTGGAAGAGGCACACGAAAAAAAAGAAAGAAAAAGCAACAAACAAACACAGACAGAATGAGCAAAGGGAAGGGCCTGAGAGAGAGAGAGAGAGGGCAAGAGGTGCGGGGCAACAGCTATATATTGAAGGGAATTGAATTGAAATGGTCGGGCAATTGTTTGTGTATCATTATAGTCATCATCGATGTGCTCAGCGACTCGCCAGCTGACGCCGAACCGATGCATATATCGCTCCATCATATAGATATGGGTATAGATACATATATAAATTGCAAACTCTATCTCTGGGTGTGTGTGTGTGTTTGTTATTTTTATGGCTGGCCAGCATGGGTTTTAAAGCCCATTGCGCTGGTTTTTATGAGTTTTCAGTAGGCATTTCGACTGCAGACCCCATCTATGGATCACTTTAGCTATTGACTGAGCTAATTATAGGATATCCTATAGTCGAGCCGTTCCTATTTAACCTATAGAATCCTATGTTGTGTCTCTACTCAAAATTGAAACTTACTTTATCGCAAATATACTTGAGTGAAGTAACACTTTTCTGAACTGCAGCCGATTACAGGGTATGCCGCAGTCCAGCAGCTCTTTAATTTGGCTCCTCTTTAGCTCGTTCTCTCACTTCTTTTAGTAGTTCATCTTGAGTAAACATAAATTTTCTTCAACTTACGAATATTTTACAGGGTATCTTCTAGTTGAGCTCTGATAGCCAACCCTTATCTTGAGCTTTCAACAACTCTTATAGCATTTAATTATTTCCATTTTAATTGAATGCAAATCTCAATTCCCCCCATTGCTCGCTGCATATTGATAGCCTCCATCCGTCGGTCCCATTCCAATCGTAGGGTATGCGGCAAGTCGTGCCACGGCACCTTCCCGCAGCGTGTACACATTGGGCATGAGAGGACATCTTCAGATACACGCGATGTCCATTGAATTCCAATTAACAACGTTTAGCCAAATGATTGATTGACTTTACGGGTCTATGCGCAATGCAAAACCCCAACCAAAATTCAAGTATAGATGCATGTGTGTGTGTGTGCGTGTGTGAGTGTTAATAGCTTTGCCAAACCCTTAAGATGATCTAGGAATCTAATAAATTTATATACATAATAAGAAATTAAATTTTCTAGTGCTGGAAAATTTCAGTAAACTTACATTACTTTATATACACTAATCATATATTATATTATATTATATAAGTTAAGCGCTCCCATACCAGAGTACTAGTGACTGGAGACGCTGAGTTATGCTCAAAGCAGAAATATTTTGCATATAATTTAGTAACAATGGTTCTAAGCTCTCACTCATCCCTTTATGAAGTGAACCTTATCAGCTCTACTGGTTGGACTCGCCCCTTTAATGTTTGACTGGACTCTCCAGCCTCCTTAGTTAGTCGATTGTCTTTACTTTTATCTAAACCCTATGTAAATATTGTTTTTCCGTGATTTTAGAGCACTGCTAATTGCATTTTACAACACTGTTGTGCTGTGCATTAAAATTGTCAATAGTTATCGATAAAAAGTGTGACCGTTGCATATATGACTTGCAATTTCTCTAAAATTGTGCGTGTGTGTGTGTGTGTGTGTGTGTGTGTGTGTGTGTGTGTGTATATATGTCTTGTCATGTTATGTCAGGCGATCAATTGGTCTCGCTCTGGCCACGCCCACCACCAGTCGCCACCCCCTCCCCCGTCCCCCAGCCAGGCCGGCTGTCGTCCGAGGCGGCGGCACTATTAATTATCATGTTAAAATGTAATTAATTAAAGATGTCGTCAACGCAGCCGTTGAAGCCGGCGCCCGCAACATAACTTTCAATGAAAAGTTAATAAATTACATAATGCCGTAAACGAAATTACAAACGCCATCAACGCTGACAACAACAACAGCAACAACAACAACAACAACAAAAATGCCACCTGATAACAAATCAAACGAACATTTTTGCTCTGCCTATCGACAGGCGTCGCGACGTCGACGTCGACGTCGGCCTCGGCCATCGACGCTGATGTTGACAAGGCGTTCGCACAGTGGTACAATGTGTTAGATAGTCCTGCAGAAAGTGCTCAGAATAATAAATATTGATCAATTGATGTATTTGATAAAAAAAAAGGTCTAATATTTGATGTACAAATATGGTTTACAAAGTCCGTGGTATCCAAAATCTTTATATTGCATATTATTTGTTTTCATTATTTACGTACCTACGCAATAAATTTGTGAAATTCTAGACACTACAGTACTCAAATTATACTGAAAACGAATTGAGATTATCGATTATTATCAATCTGAATTGAGATATCGGAAAAAAATATTTATAGCCATACTGCGAATGGTATACAGGAGCATATGTGTTAAGCATATGTCTCCAGGTTTTGTGAGTTACGAGATATCTGCGTTCATACGTACGAACAGATGGGCGAACGGACAGATGAACCGATGGATAGATGGACGAACAGAAAAGTTCATTTCACCTAAGCTTTCCAATCTGAACAAGATTAAATATACTTAATGGGGTCTGCCACGCCTCCTTCCGCCTTTTACATATTCTTTAAGAAAACCATGAAACCCCAAACCCATTGAAAATGGGAAATCATATAAGCCACATTATTAGCTATATTACAAAATAAAATGTACAGGGTATTAAGAACAAGACTTCAGCTGCAATACATATGCAATAAATAAACTAATATATGTATATATAGGAGCTCTCGGATCTTAAGCTCCAAATAGTAGAGTTACCACTCCTCTATTACCTTTATTATCAAGACCGCATACAAATGAATACAAGTTTGGTATTTTCCTTGTACAGATCTCAATTTTATTTTCCAAACATTAAAACGTTATAAGACATAAATATATATATGGATGTCATTATAAACTATATATATAGAGGAACTGTGAATTTGTATTTATGTGCCTAAATATTGTGACGTGCCTGCTTTATACATATATATATATATAGGATATGTATATATGTTAATATATATAGATATATATGGATATACATGTATATGTGTGTATATAAAGGTATACATAGATGTATGACTATGTAGTATGTGAATATATTTATTCATATACACATATTATGAAATATATATGTATGTATGTACAGCTGCTAGAATTGTGGACAAAGTGTGTTTTATCCAGGTTTGTTACTCTTGTTGTGTAAATTCGCTTTGTGGCTTGATTAAAAGTTAAATTTGATATTATTATTATTATACGTATTTGGTAGATTATTCTTTCAATTGTTATTCAGCTTTGTGGTAAAAATTTGTTGGTCTTTGCAGTATTTGATATAAATTTTTCAAGTGTTCCTAAGTGTTCCTAACTATTCCTAAGTATTCCTAACTGTGTGCTTAGTGTCCCTAATTATTCCTTAGTGCTTGGTTCTATTCTTTCGTGGGTTCGGTTCAGTGTTTATTGGTTCGAATGCAGTCTCTTGTTAGGTTTGTTGTGTCTTCTTCTTTTCACTTTCCTTGGCCTAGAAAGCGAAATTTCATCATTTCATCTCATTTTACTCAGTTTCTTTTTTTGAGTGTAAGCGATCAATCCGTGATATTCGTATAGGACATTTCCAGTATTTCTTGAGTCAGTACAGTTTTTTCTTGTGAAAAATATAAAGAACGTATATATGGGTGTGTGATCTGCAGCCTGTCGTTGCCTCGGAGATGTTTGTGTTTGCAATTTTTGAATTTGTTTTTCTTATGACGTGTCACAGTTGTCCAATAGCTGTTTTTTTTTTTTTTTTTTTGTTTGTTTCTTTGTTTGTTTTTCTGGTTGTTTTTCTGTTTGTTTTTCTGTTTGTTTTTTTGTTTGTTTTTCTGTGTTTCTTTTTAGTTTTTTTTTTTTGTGTTTTTGCTTTTCTGTAGTTACATTTTATAGTTGTTTTTTTTTTTTGGCGTTAAATCGGGCCTTGCGATCTGTATACCCTCCTTAATGCGTTTGGTTCTTGTTCTTGTCTTTTTTGTTCTCTTTCTTTCAGTGTCCTTCGCAGAGATGCAGGGCTGGTCATTGCTCTGAATATGGAGTTTACCAGAGGCCCGACGAATAACCGCCGGGTGGGACTCGACTATTCGAATTGGATTGCATCGGCTGGCTATGTGGTTGTATAAAGTCAGTAGCGCCCGGCTTGTAGCCCTCACCGGTGACTGGATTGCCCTCTATTATCGAGCGCCATGCAAATAGATGAGAAATGTATAAATTTTAGATAATGATGTGATGGATGGAGGATGGACTTCCATAAAAGATCTACATAAATTACGCAAAGATGACAGGATAGCAAAGAATGGAATAGTCGGAATGCTGGAAATATTGCCCATACTAGATCTAAATATCTTCTTTAGAACTTTTAAATCTAAAACTTATCATGCGGTAAATACTTTCAATGCTCTAAATGTTTCCCATATATATTCTAAGTGGATGATGGTAATATGAAATGCCAGCGAAGCAAGTGGAAGTGCCGAATATACTTTCCATACTGCGCCTAAATATCCACCATACCAGTTAGATTATTCATATGAAATATTTCGATTTAGTTTGACTTTGCTATAAATTTCTCGGGTAATCTGATCTGGTATTTGAAACACTTGTTCACATTTCCATCATGTAATAGAGAACAAAAATCACAAGTGTTTCAAATACCAGATCAGGTTACCCGAGAAATTTATAGCAAAATAAACTAAATCGAAATATTTCATATGAATAATCTAAATGTTTGCCTAGCCATGATCAAAATTTTGCGCTTATTTCATACATGCTCTGCATTGTGTGGACTCCCGACAAACTTGCGCACATTCCTATTCTACGATCAATCGATATATATATGTGTATATGTGTTTTTAGCAAACTAACCTCGGTTCTTGATCTTCCTGGGCTTTAGACCACCTACGCCATCGCCATTCAGACCAGAGCCGGTAATCGGATTGCGCGAATAAAAGATATCCTTGTTGTCGAGCTTGACACACGGCGGTGTTGACTGCTCCACGTAGTCGCCGCAGACTCCCATCGGTTCCTTCAGATCGGGCTCCGGGGCCATATTGTTCAGCGAGTACGTAGGTTCGGGATTTGTGCTCGAATCGCGACGACATTGTTGATATGCGTCGTGATTGTCGGACTCAACGAACGAAGCGTTCTCAGCCGGCACCGGCCCGACAGCGTGGGTAGTGCATGGAAGATCGACGTTCAACGTATCGACTGGACGTTGCTCTTCAGCGCTGGGCACGGGGCTAACGGGGCAAGCCTCATCCCGCTCGAAGGCCTGTGGTTCGGGAGCCTTGTCTGGTGTTGCGGCTCAAATAAGTACGGTTCGATTCTTTTCATCTACACAGATACTTACTGCTCATGTTGGATAACTTCTATTTGCACACGGTGAACACTAAATATTTTTACGAAAACAAAAAAAAAATGAATTTTCCAAACTTTTTACAGAATTTGAATTTACAAGCTTTCCCGATTTACTTTTACAAAATATATAAATATATTATTTTATTTTTTTTTACGATTTTTAGTTTTTGGCTGTGTTCAGCTCAATATCTGGACCAGGACTGACGATTTCATGAATTTGGGGTAGGTGCCTCGAAAAATCCAACGAATTTAGAAGCGCCGCCTACTGATAAATACACAAACTTGTTCAAGTGTTAAAGTGCGTGTCAAATTTTCTGACTACCAGTTTAAGTTTGACAGGTAACGCTAAGCATAGGAGAGGAAAAAATTTATGAAAAGCAATTTTATATGATATATGTATGTATATGTAATATAATTAACTAAAACTAATTAATAATGAAACTAATACACATAAAAACATAAATATATGTTATTTATTTATTTTTCAAACAGAAAACTTTGTAAAAACTTAAGTAAATACATTGAATGATATTGGAAGCGTTTGCTCCACTGTGCACGCAGCTCAATTGATGTGACCGTGTGTGTGTGTGCGTGTGTGTGTGTGTGCTTTGTCATGACCCGCATAATCCGCATGTAAAACAAATTAATAAATAAATAATAAATAATAAATGTGCGTAATAATAATGACTAAAGAAATATCAGAAACAATAAATTTTATTTGAGTAGTCGCCAAAACCGCCGACAACAAATGCCAAAAACAAAGGCAACAATTATTAATGAGAGTGGGAGCGAGAGCGAGAGAGAAATGGGCGCTTTGCAAGTAGCGCTTGTCATGAGAGAGGGAGGGAGAAGGATGAGAGTGGGGGCACTGTCAGCGGTCGGGGGCGTCTGTCTCTTGTCATAAACGTTTATAAATTTGTTGTCTGCGCGTAAATAAAATTCGCAACAATATTAAAACTGATGCAAAGGCGTAACAGAACGATTGGGCGGCGGGTGAAGAAGCGGGCTCTTTAAAATAATTTATCGCATGCAATATTCACGCACGCACTCACACACACGCGCCGGGCTTTGCTGTTGTGCCGCTGCTTTAGAGACGCTCGCACGTTTTCACGCGCATTTGTAAGCAAGTCAGGCAATCGCTTGCCCAATTAAATGCGTTGAAGCACACACACCCATGCACACATACACTCTCTCCCTCACTCACACTCTCTCGCTCATAACTGTTATCTCAAAAGCTAATTCTCCAAAGTCAAAACACTCGCATTTTCGCTCATAACAGTTAAATAAACAGAGACAAAACCTCGCTCACTCAGCGTTCCCTCACCCCATTGCTGCAGCTACGCCTCTCTGCATGCAATCGTCTCATTTAAAAATATGACACATACACACAAACACACACACACAACAGCGAGAGGAAAGAAGCAAAGAGCAATAACAAGCACAATTAAGGCCAGTGGGCGCAGTGCTTTAACATTCACACATGCATATAGCATACTTATATGGCTTATGCAAATAAACAGACCGAAAGAGAAAAGAAAGAAAGAGAGAATTCAATTAACTGTATTATAAGTTCTTCAATCAGTCTATCGCCTTCAAAGCTCACGCTTCAGTAAAGCTTTCGCGCACCCAACTCAGCTGCCAAAAAGATCAGAGCGCATACTTTGCATAAGCGCAAATGTCTGATCCCACCACACCACACCACCGCAAAGCAACGGTACACTCCGCTGCGCTACAGTCGACGTGCCGCGGGCATCAGGAACTTCAATTGCAGCTGTCGCTTTGTCGCTGCTGCAGCTGTAGCTGTCGCTTTTGTCGCAACGTCTCGCACTCTTGCTTCAGTTTAGCTGGCAGCTGACTGCGCTGCTTTTGTAAAATCATTTGACATGTCAACGTCGCGCAGTCGACGCGTCGATCCCCTTCGCGTGCCAGCACAGAAAAAGCGAATCAGATGCGCTCGCTCACTCCAACACACACATACTATAGAGCAACGAAACCACATAATGGTTGAGGTGTAAGCGAGAGCATTGCCCGTTTATCAAAACGGCGCCCGCATGTGCTGCTGCTGTTGTTGTTGTTGCTGTTGTTGCTGCTGTTGTTGCGGTTGCCGTTATTTCTGCCCTTCCTTCTTCTAGTTATTCTCAGTTAAAGTCGTGCAAGAAAAAGCGCAAATCAGCCACAATTGCCTCTGACAGACGCAAGCTCTTTTTGCCTTTGTGCGCCAGTGTGTGTGCATTTGTGTGTGACTGACTATATGTGTATGTGAGTGTTCAATACTTTGTAGCTATGACAGCGTGCGAGTGTGTGTGGCTTTGACATTATTTGTGCTGCGAGCTGACAGATTTTCGTTACGGCAGCATTAAATTGAATTTTGACATTTCTTTGCATATGCGAAGTAGACACACACACACACATGCACATGCACACACACACTGTCATTTACACATATACGCGTGTATTTTGTCACATTTAAGCTAAGCCACTGGCAAAAAGCTACAGGCACACTCAGTTTCTCTCTCCCTCTCTCTCTCTCTCTCACACACACTCTCCCTCTCGCCATCTCTCACACTCTGTTGTTATATCCTTTGACCAGCTCGCTTTATGAGTTTTAGTTTGCACTCGAGACATCAATTGGCAAACTGACTAATGAAATAACAAATTATGATTGATTCGATTAATTAAAGCTCAACAAGCTTGTATTCATTGCATCTTTAAGCAACAATATCAAAGTTTCAAATTCAATTTGAACCTAAGCAAAATGCAGAAGAGGCAAAAATACATACATACATATTTTGCTTTAGTGTGCAAAATTTCAATTTTTGTTGATTAAAGAGAAAACAAATTTATGTGGGTGAGTGTGTGGGTGTATGGGTGTGTGTTTGATTAACGCCGGATCGAACAGAGTCTAACTTTGATGCCCACTGGTCATATGGCCAGATGGAAGCACCAGCCCCGCCCCACCCGCCGCCTCTATTTCATTGCTGAACACCTTGAAAATTAATTTCTCACGTTTCACGTACAATTTGTATGACCGGAAGCGTTTTCAAGCCTGACTCCTGCCTCTCTCTCTCTCCCATTCTCTCCCTCTCTCTCTTTGGTCGGCTGCAATCCTTGGCCAATACAGCTAAGTTCCTGTCTCCTCTTCCTCATATCTCCACAACTAGCTGCTCGCTAATGAAGGTTTCATATTGCTGCATCTGCTGCCCTTGCTATACCCTGTACTTGAAGCTAACCGCAGCTGGGCGTGATGGACGTGTGCACAATTTGCCCTGATTTGTTTGCTTTTGCAAACTAATATGTTTCTTTGAGCAGAACTCCTCATAGCAATTACAGGGTATTCAATATTTTCTGTTTTACACATTGGCAGACATTTTCGATTGAATCTTGCATTTGTGACTCGTAAAAAGCCTACTTGACTCTATTTTCATCTGGTTGTACTGCGTATATCCTATATATAGAGTGTTTGATGGTCCACTAATTAAGCATTTACCCCTATTTAAACGATATTTCTATTTCCGTCGACCAAAATAAGTAAATAACTCTTTGTTTTGCTTATATGTAGGGTATCTGCGTGTACATCACTAATACAGTACGGCCAGAATACTTGTTTAATATAGACTAGATAATCTTTGTCTGCATTTACTCTTCCTATCACTTACAGGATATCTGCTAGTCAATAATTTCATCCCTACTTTTCGAATATTTTCCATTAATTTTCTCTTATGACTCCCATTCTCTACATTTACTCTAATTACTTGGTATAGGATATCAGTTAGTCCATCTTTACTTGCAGGATATGTGCTAGTACATCATTTAACTTTATTTTCTAATATTTATATTCAGTTTTGGCTTGTCTTATGCCTAAGCTGAATGGAATTTTACTTGTTTTTAATATTTTGCACAGCTTTTGTTTTACAGGGCATCTGTTAGCACATCAATGCAACACTTTGCATTCAGCTGGCCAGCTCCTTGTTGCTCTTGGCCATAGCACGTAGCCAATGAGTCCAATTCCGCATTCGGCTTCTGCCTGACCAAAGAGGCCACGCGCCCAAATGCAATTGGCTATATGTGTGTGTGTGTATGTGTGTGTGTGTGTATGTGTGTGTGTGTGTAAGCACAAATACTCTAGCATGCATTGCAGTGTATTGGACAAAGCGTGTAAAGTGATATATTATACCCTATCACTCATATTAGGCAAACACGAAAGCGGGTATGCTCGACTATGATGTAGATAGATGTTGTCTCTTAAGAGAATATGGAAATTTACATATATGTAAATTTGTATTGTATATGTATAGCCAATAACTTTAGTTTCATTAGCAACATTCACAAGACAAACAAAAGTTTGCATTATGAGAAGCGCATATAAGGGCTTTTGCATGCAGTAAATGAGCTTTAAAATATATATATAATAGAAAAGGTATATATAATATACATATATATAATATATATGTTAATTATAGCTAATATATATTGTATATAAATATTTGCTGTTTATTTTTTTGCTTTACAGGGTATCGCCTGGTCGTTCTGTTTGCGCAGCGCGTCAGAAAACATTCTCAACTTATTATTGTTGCGGTTTGTGCTGTGCTTCAGTTTAGTTATTACACATATTAGCTTGTGGCCAGCTTTGGCTTTGTTTGCCACAGACCAGAGACCACCTTTGTCAGTGAGAGACAGAGAGAGAGAGAGTGAGAGGGGGGGAGAGAGTGAGAGAGTTGTCATGCGTGCGCTTAAATTGCAGAGGATTATGGGTCTTAATTTTATGATTGCTTCTTTAATCAGAGCAACTAACTGCACGCCAATTATGTCCAGACCGTGCTAATTGTTTCTCTCTCTCTCTCTCTCACTCACTCTCTTAGCTGCTAATCGATGTGCGTTATTTGCGATTAGCCGAACGAGCCAAATGAGCCACGTAGTCATAGAGCAATCGAGGGTGTGGGAATTTCTTATGTCTTGGCAATCATTTGTCTTGCTAAGAGAGAGAGAGAGAGAGAGAGAGAGACTCTATACCAGCGCCAACCACCTCGAACCGCCCTGCCACGCCCACCCACCCAGCCAGCCCCCCCCCTTTGTTTTGTCGGTTTTGTCG